GAAGAGAAGAGAAGAGAAGAGAAGAGAAGAGAAGAGAAGAGAAGAGACGAGAAGAGAGAAGAGAAGAAAAGAAAAGAAATAGACAATTTAGATTTTGTGTTAACTAAAAAGGTCTCAGCATCAAAGGATAGCATCAACAACATGAAAAGGCAATCCAGAAAAAGGGAAGACATCCTTGCATATCATAATGGACTTGTATCCAGAAGAGAGAACATCTGCAACTCAACAGCAAAAATTAATGACTCAATTCAAGCATGGACAAAACATTTCTCCATTGAACACATACGGACAGCTGATAAGCTTGTGGGAATATATTCATCACCAGTAAACATTAGAGAAACAGAAACAAATGTCATGATGAGAGACTACTTCTCATCTACTAAGATGTCTCCTAGAGAAGACTGTAATAAGTGTCCCAAGGACGCATTGGGAATGGAGCCATGTGTGCGGCTGCTGAGAATGTAAAATAGAACAGCCCAGTGGGGGGAAAATAAGGGTAGTTGGCTCCTAAAAATAAACAAATTCACGATTACTATAGAGTTCGGCAATTCCACTTCTGAATATTTACCCAAAGAAACTTAAAGTGAATATTGGTAAGAGACTTGCAGACCCATGCACATTGAAGTATTGTTTACAGCTGAAGCATGAAAACTAGCTAGGTGTTCACGAATGTCATATACCTGGAATCTCATGGGGCCTAAAAAAAAAAAAAAAAAAAAGGGAGAAGTTGTGATAATGTACAACAACATAGAAATCCCTTGAGGAAATTATGATAAGTAAAATAAATCAGTTGAAGAAAATTTAAATGCATTCTATGTCCACATGCATGAAGTGGAAAAGTTGAAATCACAGAAGGGATAAGGAACAGTGGTTGCTAGTGAGGGATACTGTAATGGGTGAGATTATTCAGTAAGTGGAATCATGGGGGATCCCCAGGATCAGGGAGCAGGTAGGGTCAGGGCTGCCTCACTGAACATAGAATTTGGTTCACAAAATAAAATTATAGAGACTGATCACAAGTCTGTGTGAACTGCATACTTTGCGGTGAAGGTTATAATTTCATGGTGTACATATTGTGCCATGAGAAAACATAAATTAATTTTCCAAAAGTGGTGAGGGAGCTATTAAACTAAAAATGGCATCACAGAGGGACCCTACACGCAGTATTGCTTAGTGAAAGGAGCCAGCCTGGAGGTGATGGTGATGGTGTGGAAGTGGTGAGAGACAGGTGAGGTCAGAATTTGCAACCTGACTTCCCTTCACACATTCCAATGACCTCTCCTCCACTGTGTGACGGGCTTTGGGAGGCCGTTAGCCAAGAGACCCAAACTTCCAGAATCTTCATAAAAATCCTGGGCTTCTCGAAATGATTTCACTTGAGAAAAACCACCTATTGAAGAATCAACTCCACTGCAGATTTCCCTCCATGACAGGATCTCTCTCCACAACAGGCTCCCCCCACTGCAGGATCTCTTCACTGTAAGATCATCCCCATCCCACCACAGGACCTCATCTACTGAGTTGTATCACACATTGCAGGATTCCCACTATTGAAGTTCACCCACTGCGTATACTCACTATGGGATCCTCTTCATTGCAGGATTCTACACATTACAGAATCAGCTCCACTGTGGAACCCTTCCATGAGATGATCTCCCTCACTGTAGGATTCCGCTCACAGAAGGATCCAACTCACTGTGTGGTCTTCCTCCATTGCAAGATCCCACACACAATAGCATCCCTCCATACACATACAGTGAGATCCACTCATTGCTGGGTCACACCCACTATAGGATCCCCTCCCATTACGGGATCCCATGCGCTGAAGGATCCCACCCACTTAAAATCACACTGACTAAAGAATCAGCATGCGTCACCCAGACCTCTAAGACACCAGGACTTTGGGACTTTCAGACAGTGAGCCAAGAATAATGATGTAGTTTTATAAACCCAGCTATTTGGAAAATCAGGGCAGTAGGATCACAAGTCCAAGGTCAGCCTGTTCTACCAAATTATTTCAAGGCTTGTTAGGCAACTAAGTGAAAACTATCTCAAAAAAGAAAGGGGAGAGAGGAAGGAAACAAGGAAGGGAGGGAGGAAAGAAAGGAAGGAGAGAAAGAAGGAGGGAGAAAAAGAGAGAGGAAGAAGTGTAGGTCATATAGCTGTAGCATAGTGATAGAGTACAGGCCTTGCATGCACAAGGCTAAGCTTAGCATGTATAATGTGTTAACTTGTCTAATGTGTATAACAAAAGGAAGGAAGAGACAAATGAGGAAAAGAGATGGCTTGTGTACTCAGGATCCTGTCATTCCTCCAGGGTTATTAGGAGCCTAACTAGGTTCTGAGGAGCTCACCTGCTTTAGGCTTGCAGAGGCAAACCCTTGGCCTATCTCCAGCCTCCTGGCACCCTCCAAGAGGCAGATCTTGGCCTGTCTTTACTCCACTGTGACTTCTAGTTTCTGTTCTTTCTTCCATACAGATGTTTTTCCATTTCAAAGAAATGAGAACCCTTGTCCAGTGAGATCACTTCCTCCATGTTGCTGGGCTCAGCTGAATACCTTTGTGCCTCTGTTTCACTGTCTAATCTGGCAGTAGACAGAAACTGCACAGCTTCCTTCTGGTAGTGAGGAAATCACCATGGGATCTTGATGCCTACTCAGCACAGTCTGGAGGATCTTACTTCATCCTTCCTTTGGTAGGATTCTGCCAGGCTCCCTGCTTCTTATAAAAGACTGATGGAGCCTCCAGAGGAGCAGAGAAGGTGACACTAACTCCTGAAGCCTCCAGAATTCCTTTCATTCCAAAGCCTTTGACCTCAACATGAAGATCTCTACAGCGCTTCTGTGCCTATTTCTTATGGCTGCCACCATTGGCCCACAGGTGTTGGCTAGGCCAGGTAAGGCTTCTCCTTTAATCTCTCAGCACATTCCAGAGCTGCTGCATGGTCTGCAGTTTTAAGATGGAGAGACTAAAGTGACAAGAGGAGTTAAAAAAGAGTCATTATGTCACAGCGGGTCTGAGAGCCAGAAGCAAGTGCTCAGAGCACTGAGGCCAGGCCTCCTGATGCCCCATGACACCAGCTCTGGAGCAAGATGCTGCAGGTAGCCACTACAGATACCCTTCTCTCCTTGTTCAGGGATTTTTCCCCAAAGTGGTCCTGTGAGTGAGAAGGACATCTCAAGCAATAAAGGAGTGCCAAGAATGATGGCCTAAAGAAGTCCTTTGGGGTTATGGTCCAGAGTGGCTTCTGAAACAGCAGCCACATGTGGATATAGAGAGGCTTCTTAGATTAAAAATGGGTTGACTCACAGCAGCAGGCTGATGTACAGCAAGTTCTTAGAACTTACTTTCCTATGTCAGAAACTGATGAGATTTTCCACACACAGTCAACAGCAAGGGCATATTCTGCTATATTCTGTGACTGGGCCCCTGATACAGACCTTGGGAGCTGTGACTCTTAGGTACAAGCCAGCATTCTCCTTTGCTTGTGAGAGCACCCTGCAATGTCTCCTAACTGTCTCATTCTTTGCAAAATCCTTTTCAGATTCAGTGTGCATCCCTGTCACCTGTTGTTATAAAATGGTTAATAAGTTCCGCGTGCAAAGGCTGAAGAGCTACAGGAGAATCACCAGCACCCACTGTCCCCAGGAGGCTGTGATGTAAGCCCGCCATGCCCAGCACCCTATACTAGTTTGCTATTTGAGGAGCAGGAGAGAAGTCTGAACTCATGGCTATAAGTCAAACAGATATAGTATCTTACCTGTCTGGTTCCCTCCTCAACTAGGAAAACTAAACCCATTAGAGAACCATATTTTTCCATCAGCTCGAAGAGGCTGTACCCAATTGATTCAGCCAGGAGACTGGAGAGATCCAGCTAGGAAAGCAAGAACAGGGCTTCTTCCTGACTCTTCTTTTTTTCACCTCTCCCAGTCTTCTCTCCTGCCACTTCATCTATGGAGGAGAAGAAGAGGCCTGATTGGCTAATAGACCATGTCCTGAACAGAATGCCCAGAGCCCTTGGTCTAACCATGTCCTCTCCCCACAGCTTCAGAACCATACTGAATAAGGAGATCTGTGCTGACCCCAAGAAGAAGTGGGTTAAGGACTCCATAAAGTACCTGGACCAGAAGTCTCTAACTCGGCATCCTTGAACCTCCCTGTCTAGGCTGAGAGTCCCAGGAAAATCTTATGTACTTTCCCCCAACCTTCCCCGTGAGCAGTGTGATAGTAATTTATTATGATATCTAAAGAGAGGTGCCTTTAATAATTTAAAGCACAGACCTGTTTAAGAAATATTTAATGATATTTAACTTATATTTTGGCCAAATGAACGGAATTTAATTTACAAACTGTGTGGGTGTTTTTCTATGGACTCGGTTACATTCCTGGAAAAAAGTCAGTGTTCTCCCTCCCGCCTGCCTGTGGGATAGTGAGAACCATCCATGACACACTAACATACAAGCTGTTGTGTTCTTAGAGAAGCAGTGTTTCTTCGAGTGGAGTGTGTGCTTCTTACTGCTCTGTTCGGTGTTGTTATAAGGACTGGCACTTTCAAAGAGAAATACATGTGTTCTTTTTTAAAATATCTTTTATTTAATCACTTAGCACCCTGATACCAGTCTGCCCCCTCCTCACCTCCCTGTCCCACCCTCATTCCCCTATTCCACCTCCTCTCCTTCTTTACTATAAGTTTGGGTCATGTTAATCTGGAAGTGAAACTCTGCAGCAGTGGGTAACAGTGTGAAGGACTGCCCTGCGGAAATGTCTTTCAGCTGGCCGGAACTCTGCTGAGGCTCAGGAAGAACATGGTAGCACATAGCAGGCCCCTCCAGGCCTCTAGCTCCAGTCCTCCCATTCTCTGAAGTTAGCCATTAGCTTCTCTAAGACTCTTTCTTTTCTCACCATGCTTCTCTTTTCACAGAATCCCATGACCCCTCCTAGATGTCCGGAGATTTTTCTCTCTAACCCCAGAGTTTTCCCTGTAATAAAATCTGAAGCCCAGAGTAGTAACATGTTAGGAGTGAAACAAGTCCTACAAGGAAAACTAAACATCTGTGTTCCACATCTATTTTGGATTTTTTGAATTAAGGATGGCTCTCCAATGCATCTGCTGTGGAAGGGCAGTGGGTATGATAGACTGAAAATGCAGAGTACGCTGAGCTTTCCAAGAAAGAGGGGAGGGTACTGAGCCAGAAAAAAGGGATCCAGCCATGGCCTCACACAGCAGCTATTTAACAGGGCTAGTAGTTCTTAGACTCAGGCTAATTTATTCAAGTTATGATCTTAAATGTCTGTGCTCCTTCAAGATTCATACTGGAATCTAGTCTTGGCCCTTTGTGCTGTGTGTGTTCTGTATGAAGACAGTAAGGTAACTTGCTTTAGAAGTCTAGCTAGAGGGCTCAAATAACACAGCATGGCCACTGGTGAGGCAACCTGGCTACATGCCAATATAGCAGAGGGTTGAAAAGGAAACATGCTGTGTGCTGAAGAGGCTGGGCACATAGAATGACCACGATGATTCATCTCTGTACCTTCAAACCAGCCCTAGCGTTAATCCATTCGCAAGATCCCAACACCAAAGTTTCCTTCAACTCAGCCCCAATATGTAAAGGCTCCTCCACCATTTCACCACTGCCATGCTAGGGGCCAAGCTTCCAGCATGTATCTGTTGAAGGACCATCACATACAAACCATAGCATGCATTGTGGGGGGAGTAAGAGGCGGGACCTTTGGCAGATAACTGTGTCGGGAGATGTCTGCCTCCGTAAGTGGTATCAATGTTAATAACAGAGTCTTGGGAGAATTGTTTTGCCCTCTCACTGTGGGAGAACACACAAAGGGTGTGCAGAATCAATGCAGAGCAATCAGTGCCAGACACTGAGTCTACCAGTAGCTTGATCATCGCCATATTTAAATACAAAATTTGAGCAATGGATCTCTCTTCTTATAAGTTATTATGACCAAGGCATTATGTTTTGATAATAGGAATGGACTAATATAATCATTATGTTATGGAGTGAAATGTCCCTCCTAGATTCATGTGCTTGAATGTTTGGTTCCCCAGCGAGTGGCATATTTGAGGGAGATGGTACAACCTTTAGGGAAGGAAGAAAATGTTTTTGGAGGTGAGTGACATGGGCCAGGTCCTTGGAGGTTATAGCCCCCTCGTTTCCCGTCTGCTGCTGAAATATTTCCAGCCACAAGCTCCTGAGAATATAGACCAAAGTGTTCATATCACAGTGCCATCCAAATGCTATGACGGACTGTGAGCCAAAATAAACCCACCCTCCCTTCAGCTGTTCTGTCAGGTATGATTGGGAGGTTTCAGAATGGAGAGATAGATCAGTGGGTAAAGTGCTTGGTCCACGGTGAGGATCTGAGTTGAGATCCCCCGGCTCTTACATGAAGAACCAGCTGTGGCAACACCAACCTGCAACTTCAGTGACGAGACTCACTAACAGAGGTAATCTTTGTCATCCTGTCAGTCCCAAGGCCGATTTCTAAGAGCTCTTTAGCATCCATTTAAAGGCAAGGACTCCTCTTCCTGGCAGTTTCTTTTTTCTACTTATTTGTGTATATGTGAGGTGTATATGTTTGTGTGTGCAACATAAACCTAATCAGGAAAAGGATGAAAGAAAAAACAAGAAGAGTGTAAGTAAACAGTAGAGGAAATCAATAAGACCAAAGTTGGATCTTTGGAAATATCAATAAAAGCAATAAACCCTCATCTAGGACAATCACACAAAAAGAACAAAGGCACAAATTGCTACTGTCAAAAATGCAAAAGGAGCATCTTTACTACTGCCCTAGAAAAGACAGGATCATAGGGAATAAAGATTGTTAAGAACTCTTGGTCCAAAACTTGAAAGCGTAGAAAAAAAAATTCAGTTTGTTGTTATACATTCTGACAAAACTCACACGGAGAAATAGGAATAATCAAGATATGTCTTTATCTATTACATAAGTTGGATAAATAATAATCTTCCAACTCTGAAAGTACAAGGATCTCCCAAAAGGTTATACCAATGAATTCTATTGAACACCGAAGTTACAAATAATGCCCATGATCAAAAACTTGATCCGAAACATGAAAACAGAGTGAACACATGCGAATTCACTCTTTGAGGCCAGGAAGATACACATACAGAGACATTCTGTGCCGTGCTGAGGTTACAAGTAAGAAGAGACACTATTATCAACTTCTTGTTCTTTCCAACCCAGCAGAAAGCTACATCAAACAAAAGAAAATCATGGGCCAGGAGCATCCTGGGTCCTTCCTGGCTACTGAGTCTAGCTGTAAAGGGCCATCTCCAGGCTCATGGAAGATACTCTGCCACAAAGAATGAGATGGGGAGTGATTGAGGAAGACATCCTAATGGCAACCTCAAACCACATACAAACCCACAGATGAGCACACCCACACTAGCAAGCACCAGTGTAACACACACACACACACACACACACACACACATATGAATAAGACCTTAAAACTTAAAATCTATTAAAAATTGACCTATCCCATCAATTAGCTGAAAGATAAAAGGTTACATGATGTTACCAATAGACACCAAAAAGCATTGAACAGAAGGGCATTCCCAATCAAGACTCTAAAACCAAAACTACTCGTCAATACACTTGGAGCAGAAGGATGCTTCTTTAACCTAACTAAGCACCTACAATGCCCTGTAGCAGATTTGACACTCCCCGCTGCTAAAGTAGATGTTGTTCTCCTAAGAGTGAGCCTAGCAGAGCAAGGGTACTCCCTCTCATCACTGCAGTGTCACGTCAGTCCTGGCCGACTCATTAAGACAGAAAATTAATTAATTAATTAATTAATAGCCAGAAAGCTACAAAGATGGAAGAAGGAAGTTAAGCTGCTTTTAAGAAAAACATGATTAACTCCTACAAAAAAAAAAAAAAAATCACAAAGAACCAATGACAGCTATAAAACCCAAACTTTCATAATTAGTTTATAACCACAAAAGGATTTCAGAATGGACAAAGGATATAGATCGGCGGATAAAGAACCTGGTGCTCAAACACGAGGCCTCAAATTTGGATGCCAAAGCGCCCATATTAAACAAACAAACAAAAAGAAGAAAAGAAAGACAGGCGCATTGGCATCCATCTGCAATGCCAATGCAGAGTTGGGAAACAGCAGGTAGATTATGGAGTCTTGCTGGCTAGCTAGCCTACAGAAACAGCAAGATCCAGGTTCAGGGAGACCATGTCTACAACAATTAGATAGGAAATGAAGACGATACCCAGTTCCAACCTCTGGCCTTCATAGGGTATCCAACCACTGCCTCCCTACATACATACTCATACACACACATCTCAGCTGCATGCATGTGAGTGTCCACACACACAGTTTCACATAAACAAATACTGTAGAGCACAAAGCTTAATGTCTAAGGGTCAAATAACCTTTCTGTAATCAGTAATAAATATTTCAAACTGAAATTAATGGCACTATAAATATTAGCACCAAAACTCAACCACATAGGAGTCAGTCTAAGAAGATATGGTTATGAGAACAACTACAAACTTCTATGAAAGAAGAAAGAACTGAGCCAATGGAGAGATCTCTGTGTTCACAGGAGGAAAACTCAGTCAATACAGTCAGCCCTCCAGCTCTTCTCCAGATGACCTCATCATTCAACACAATTTCAATCAAAAAATCCCACTAAGTTCTTTCATGAATATTGAACCCACTGGTTCTAAAGTTTATACAGAGAGGCAAAATACCCAGAGGAGTTACCACAACTCTGAAAGTCAGAGAAATTCCCTGACTTCAAGACTTACCACATGGTTACAGTCATCTAGAAGCCGTGGGACTGATGATATAATAGAAAATAAATCAGTAAGAAAGAGCAGCTGTCCCACAATAGATTGACACAAATTACCTTTGAAAAGCAGCAGGGACAAATCAAGGAAGAAAGGATAGTGTTTTCAACTAATGGTGCTGTAACAAATGTGAAAATTGTAGAAAAGAAAATGAACTTATATACAGACCATTCTTTCACACACACAAAAAAAATGATATTAAATGCATGGTGGATATAACTGTATCTATTGCTTAAAATTCAAACCTACACAACTTCTACAAGGTAAAATGGAAGAAGGCATAGGTGACTGTCTTAGTTTCTTTGTTGGGACAAAAATACCCTGAGATAAGTGCTGTACACAAATGAGCATTCACAAATGCATCTTAAGAGATAAAGGGGAATTTTTTGTTGTTGTTATAGAGTTTCAGGGCATATACAGTTCATC